TTGCGTCCACCCTTTTTTTCGCGTTTTCTTGGGGGGGGGGAGCGGGGGTTTTTTTTTTTTTGTTGGGGTGGTGGGGGGGGGGGGGGGGGGTACTCATGCTTTGCATTGAGTCAGGTGTTAGTTGCTAGGCCATTGACAGCGCGTCCTCGAGAGGCCGGGGGGGGGGGGGATGGGGGCGTTGCCCCTCGTTGTTGTTGGCGTGCTGTGTTTCCATGTATGTTGTTGTTGAGGCTTCCTGTGCCCTCTCTGTCGCTGGTTGTCGCCGGTTTCTGGGGACCGACCGCTGTTGGTGTTGCCGATGCCTATGTGTCCCGATGCGTCTCACGTGCAATCTACACTTTGTGCTTTTTTGCGTGTGCATCGCCGAAGGATATTTCCGTCTGTTTCTATTTATGTTTTTCGTATCTCGTGCACGACATCTCAACAAAACAGTGGGCGGCTAACTACGCCATGCCTCGTCCCAGGGTAATAGAGACGACGGTGATGACGGACGCTGTTTTTTTATTCTGTTGTGTGAACGGACCGCCACATGCTGCTGCTGCTGCTGCTGCTTTTATTATGTTGTGTGAACGGACCGCCACATGCTGCTGCTGCTGCTGCTTTTATTCTGTTGTGTGAACGGACCGCCACATGCTGCTGCTGCTGCTGCTTTTATTCTGTTGTGTGAACGGACCGCCACATGCTGCTGCTGCTGCTGCTTTTATTCTGTTGTGTGAACGGACCACCACATGCTGCTGCTGCTGCTGCTGCTGCTTTTCTTCTGTTGTGTGAACGGACCACCACATGCTGCTGCTGCTGCTGCTGCTGTCGCGGGTGTTGCTGCAGCAATACGAGGCGGACGTGGCCAAGGGTGAGGACTACGGCTACGACAAGCACCTGGAGTCCATCCTGGTCAACCACATCCAGGAAGTGGTGAGAGACTACTATTAATATGTATTGTTGGAGCTCTCTTCTTGGGTGTCTTCCAGACAAGAGCAAAAAAAAAAAAATCTCATGAGTGGAATAGCAGGGATGCATGATACATACGAAAACGAGACCGACCTCGGCAACACCCCGCTCGCGTTGCCTCGCAGGCGCGCTCCAAGCACCGCTAAACCAGTATGCGTCGTGCGCAGAACCTCGCTTCGTTTGTCTTTTTTCACCAATCTCTGTTATTTTGTGTGTGTGCCTGTCGTCTTGCTGCTGACAGCCATTCTTGGATGGATAGTGTCCTTTGGATGAGGTGATGGCGTGTCTTGTCGCGGTCCACGCACAAGGCCTCTAGAGTAGTACTTTTGGTTCCTGCGATATCCTGTTGCCGGGTACAAAATACTTCAGTGAGGCGGTGGGGCGCCGTGTTCGACAGCATTTTTTTTTTTCTGTAAGCCTGTTGTTGAGCCCGGGTCTTCGTTCCCTTCCGCAAAACCGCACCGCCGGACTGACTCACCTGCCACGGAAGTCCCGTGTATGACACGGCCCGTATTCCGTCGAATTGCGACACCCCTCGCCAACCCATGGCCGTCCCTACCCCGAACCCCTGGCTCGTTCTCTGTTGATTGGTCGTTTGTGTTGGTTTTTTTTTTGGGGGGGGGCGGTGATGGTGTACGAAAACCAGGACAAGAAGATCTCTCGTTCGCAGAGGCGGCTGGAGGAAGGGGGACAAGGTGCGATGGCGATGGACACGGCCTCTCTCCGCAACAACGAGGAGATCATGAAGATGGAGGTACAGGTAAGAAGCACACGGTGACAGATGGATATTGTTCCAGAACGAGGCGCGCACGTCCGAAAGAGGCAAGGCGGAGAGATAGAGAGGCAGACGGAGAGGCCTTGTTTTGAGAGACCAGGATTATTGGTTTGGTCGGTGGTACGGGGGGGGGGGGGGTAGCACGCCTGACAGAGAGATGAGTAGGCAGACAAAAGAGGCCTTGGTTTGAGAGAACTGGATCTTGGTTTGGTCGGGGGTGGGGGAGGGGAGGCATGGGTAGCACGCCTTGTTTTGCACGAGGTGGAGGCACGGAGGGCAAGATCCCCCGACCAAAACGAACGGAGGCCTTTTGACGATGGCGGCAGACAAGACAGCAGGGATGTCAAGAATAATCAGGCAGAGAATGTGGTATGACTCTCGCCTGATTGTGATACAACATGCGTGGCTGTACATGATCTAAGACCTTCTGCTTTTGCCCTGTATGCGCATCCAATAGATGAGCGAGATCATGAAGAATGCTTAGGCGTACATGATCTATGACCGTCTGCTTTTGCCCTGTATGCGCATCCAATAGATGAGCGAGATCATGAAGAATGCCGAGGCGAAGGGCGAGGAGGGAGACGTCGACGAGGCTCAAGAACTGTTCGAGCAGGCGGAGGAGCTGCAGCGCACCAAGGCCGAGCTTGAGGCCAAGGCGCTGCAGGTGCTAAAACTTTGAATGGTGCCTATTGAAGGAGGCAGTGAAGAGAGCACAGGTGCTCCCACAGAATATCGGCGAGATGCGAATCTCTTTTGTTGATGGAATGAAGAAAATGATGATGATCGCTGTCTTGCTTCTCGTAACCTCACGGAGACTACAGCCTCGCTTGGGTAGAGATGCAGCTCTGACGCGACTCACCGCGATGCATCTCTGGTTCAGCCCTCGGCTGTGTGCTGTTTCGCAAACGAGGCATGTGCAGACCCTCACGCCATACCGTGTGCAACGCCCTCTCTCTCTCTCTCTCTCTCTCTCTCTCCCTTTCTCCCCCCCCCCCCCCCCCCCTGGACAAATGCGTTGGGTTCCCGTGTTCAAGAACGCGGTCCTGGAAACCCGGGGGGAATCGGCTCCCCTTCCCCCCCCCCCCTCCCACCCCCCTGGAAAAAAACCGGGGAAAACCATTCCCCAAAAACTGCGCTTGGGTTTAATCTTCGGGGCGGCTCTGGCCATCTTCCAATCCCACCAACCTTTGGGGGAACAATGACTCCTGTTTGCCGGGAGGTTTAAAACAGCCGTTTGCCCAGGGGCATGTTTTTTGGCCGGGAATTTTGAAGTGTGGAAAAAATGAACAGGGAAACCCCTTTTG